GTTTTTTTTTTTGTTTTGTTTTTTTTTTATACGGCCACGAAAATTATTATACTAATAATACATTTTTATTATACACCAAATAATAGAGGAACGTGAACTCGACGGATTTTTGCATCCGGATCACGCGTACATTGCCAATTCTCGCCGGGGATCCAGTCAATCGGAACAATTGGACGTAGAACCGTACCAATTAAACAAAGATTTCTCACGATCCTTACCCGGGTCCCGTCGCAGTTCATTTCAGTCAGCCCAAAATACACCTGAAAAAGGTAACTATTTTTTTTTTCATTTTTGCTTAGTATATATATTCAATATATCGTAAGACACTCATTATCTCGGAAAGTATTTACTTTTTTCGAAATTCGTATTTTTAGAACATTTAAGAAATAAATAGCTTTAAAATGTTAAATTACTCTTTTTTTTTGTTTTTTTAACACACTTATATTAAAGGGTGAGACCACTACTTACTTTTAATTTTTAAATAGCAACCTATATTAAATATTTCATAAGTAGATGGAGTAAACGTTTTATTTAATTTTGGTGTTGACACTTTTAATTTCCGTCAGAAAGTTGACGAGATATTCCATTTTTAAATTTCAATGGAGGAAAGTTGTAGTTGTGCATCATTTATATGGTGGCATGGCTCGCAGCATTACAATAATGTTCCACCACTCTACCCCTACAAACATTTAAAAGTGGAATATCTCGGCAACGGGTTAACAGAAATCAGAAATTTCAACACCAAAATTTATTTTAATTAAATACTCCAGTTATTTATGGAATTATTATAAGTTGCCATTTAAAAATCGAAAATAGGTAGTGGTTTCACCCCTTAAAATAAGGGGGACAGTAAAAAAGAGTAATGTAATATTTTAAAACTACTTATTTCTTAAATGCTCTAAAAACCAAATTCCGAAGAAGTTAATACTTTCTGCAGAGGTTATTTATTTATTTATTTATTTATATAATGCGTACCATACATTATACCTGTTATGTAACTGTACGTCTTTACTAATAGATCCGGAGTTGCCGACGCCACAGTACACAAATAAGAGCCGACGTCGGAGTTCGTGCACTCCACGCCAAGATCCCGACGAAATTCTTAAAAATTTGAAGGCGGTGAAAGGAGAGTTACTCGGCCGCAGTAAAAGCATTTGCGGTGACAAGAGGGGAATGCGAAGTAATTGCCTACAATAATATTGTGTATTGTATTTTAACTATGCCATTGTTTTTTCTTCTCCTCAGGGGGTAGTGTGTCAATTCGGCCATGGAAAGAATCTGCCGTTGCGGAAAAACCCGAACCGTCGACGTCGAAACAGGAAGAAGAACCCACCACGTGATTACATAAATTATTACGAATTCGACCGTTTTTCGGCATAATGATCGAATTTAATCTTGTGTTTTCTATTTTTTTGTTTTTTTTCAGAGAATCCATTCAATTAGGTCCGGGGCAGATCATGCCGCGAGGTTACAACATAAGTTCGGGTGAGTAAAATCAAAATCGTATCAAAAAATATTTATATTAAATCACGTGAATAACGGTGTCTCACATGCATTATACTAAATAGGTTCTCACATTGAGTTGAAACTCGGACTGTTGATGACCAAAGGTCAACTGGAAGTGGACGTCGTATGCGCGCGTGGCATCAGAGCCGAGGATTCGCCACCAGGTATGTAATCGTTTTTTTATCGGATGTCACAATTTTAAATTTGTCGATCTGTTTTGTTTCGATCGGTATTAGTTGTGAGACGTGTGGAAGAGGTAATGTAGATGAGTCATAGAGTAGTATAAAATAGTCATATCGATAAATATTGAGGTGACAAATGCCACATTTTTATAGTGTTACCATTTTCCGTAAATCAAATTATGTATTACTTTTAATATTTAATTGTAATAAAAAGTAAGCTTCTTTTTGTTTTTAAAATAAAGCTTTAATATTAAAATTAAATAAAGATTTTAATACTTCTATTACTTAATGAAAATCATGAAAATTTCAAAATAAACTTAATATAACTTTATACACAAATTCAGTATTTAATATGTTGTCTTAATGACTTAATATGGAATCAGAATTATTTGAATAATACCCATCGTCATAAAAAGTAATATTGGCAAGATATACAATGTTATTTGTATATACTGCAATTTAACGAATAACATATCGTAAAATGTCTCTTTATTCGGGTCAATGCTCTTGGTGGTTTGGCCTTATACTAATAACACTGTCAAGATATCCAATGGCACCTCTATAATACTGTATAAGTAAGTAGCGACCATCCAACCGACGACAGCCGAATAGCCACTAGTCGGACCAACAATTGATAAACATCACCGCACCTTTCGATTGGAACCGACCTGTCCTTTTCAGGACTGGCTCGGGAACCGTTGTAATCGTTAATAACTTGATCGAGCCGAATCCTTTGAGCGAGTCCAGCAGACGATGATTCGGGCCAACTACCGTAGCTAAAATCACGGAGCTGACCCTGACAATCCCTATCGTATGAATGTACATTTTATTATGATATGGTTGTAAACGAATAACACACCAAAACTCGGTTTACTATACTTATTTAAATAAAACGGTCAACGTCAACCAATGCACCGTTTTAAACTTAACCGCGACAAATTTCGAATCATGATATGTTATGGTTATTGAACCAAATTTAAAATCATAAATTAAACTGTCAAATTTCGTTATAGTTATCAAACTAATGAATAAATATAATATTAAAATAGTTGAAATAAACACGTTTTTATAATGTATGTTTTTGGAAATTTTACTTTTCGTAAAATACAAACATCAATCTGCTGTATTAAAACAATTTTTTTATTTATAAACTTGTAAATAAATAAATTTGGTAGAAAAATTCATCACTCAATTAGCTTTCCAAAAAAACTATTTTTGACCAGCTTTTTATGATTTTGGACTACTGAGTGTTGAAAAAAAAGTAAAAAACGACAATGTCACAGAGGCCAGAAAATAAGAAAATACTCGTTTTCAAAAAACTTGGTCTGTGTGAGTATAATTATTACAGGTTCTATTTTATTCAATACTGGTTTTCGATTCAATAAACGGCCAATAATGTACTCATAAGTGAACAACAAAGTGAACAAATAAGGAAATAAAACCAAATAATGTCTCAGGCCAATTTTTTTTTTTTATATATATTTATTTATTTTGTACATGCCTTCATATTGACCTTATATTTGTTCACATATATATGTTATGCTGTTATTTTTTTTCCAGACACTTACGTTAAAACCTATCTCCGGGAAAACGACCGTTGGCTGCAGAAACGCAAGACCCGCGTGGTCCGTCACAACTGCAACCCAGAATACAACCAGATACTCAGGTATTCTGCGTGTGACGTGTTGGGCCGGTCGCTGTTGGTGATGCTCTGGGAACGGCAAAAGGGCTTCGAGCACAACCAAGGTCTAGGAGGTGCCGAAGTCACATTGGACGCACTAAAGCTCACCCGGGTCACCGAAGGATGGTACCCTCTGTTTCCTATCCAGAGTCTGGGATCCGATTCAAACGATTCGCCGTGACTTCATGCCATCAAATGCCACCTTTAGATAAAAGGGTTCACCCTTCGTGTTTTCCTGACCCATATTTTATGTTTCGCATTTTAAACTTCCGGGCTCTTGAACGCCCATTTTCCATACGGAATTTCTTCTCTTTTTCACGCATCTTATGCATTGACCAAAGTTGATAATATTATTTTCTTTGGCCGTTTTAAACTCATCTTTGAATGACTTTTACGTGGCATTTGAAAATTGTTTTTCATTTAAACTACGTGTAGGTATATTTGAGTCATTTGGAAACGTTAATAATATATAATACGATTATAATAAAATAATATTATTAACATAATACTCATTTATATATATATATATATATATATATTGTTATACTTATAAACCGTAAATACCATGAATATTATGAATATTGAATATTGTTAGTTTTAAGCCTACTATCTTTAAAAAAATGATAACGTGTAGGACGATTTTCGAGTTATGAAGTTTTACATCTCAAATGTAACCAATTCTGAAGGATGTGGTTTGATGAGAAAAAATAATACGTATTTTGATACAGGTAATCGACCTGCCGTATTTATACAAGCTCGATGATACTCCATCATAACAATAAATACCTGTACAATAACGTTGTGTATGTTTTTTTTTTCTTCAACATTTTATAATATATTTTAAATACATATTAGTATTAAAATATCCGTTACGAGTTGCTCGTATTATTCTGACGCATTTCATTACATATGTTTATATTTATTCGAGAACTGTTCACGTTTTTCAAACGTCCGCAGCGTTATTAATAGCGATATTATAATTCAAAGGAAGGTTTAGTGGGTGTAAAATGTAGTACTTTAAAAGAGACCATAATATACGATATTACAGGTTAAATTTTGATTTCCGTAATTCCGTTTAAAATATATTATAAAATAATCGTCCTCCACACAAGTGCCAAACTATAAACAATGTTTACTAAACATAATAATGATAGGGATAATTTAAGGTATTTATTCGTTTAGAAAACCCATTAAATAATATATATGGATGTATGCCCTAAAAATTAACAAATATTTAAATATACTTTTAAAATATAGACTCACACTCTAAGTCTAATGTTTTATTTTGTAAATATTTTCAAGCATCATTGCTGTGAATTTTTTTTGTTATTTTCTTACGGAGGTTGTTACGTTTTATTACTATTATTTTTTTATTTTTTTTTTTTTGGTTTTTTTGTTTTTTTTTGTTCTAAAAACTCGGTTACCTACTAAAGTTTTTATACCTATAACAAAAAGGAATTTCTTGACAAAAATTTGTTTTTAATAAAAATCTTGAACTATTATTTTATACCTAATCGATAAAAAAAAGTGTACTTTAGTACTATATTTAAAAAAAAAAAAATGCTATAAACATGATTTGTAAAATCTTAATAAATACTTGAAATGTGGAAAATCACAAATTGACATAAATACGTAAACAAAAATGCAATTATTTAAATCATAAAACACATTTTAGTTTAACGATTTTATTTTATTAACCGATCAATAAAGCATATTAATCGACATAATATAAATGGCCGCTCTATTTGATAATACTATCGAAAAATATCTTCTTGTAAAAATACCCTAATAATTTAATTTTGATACTTACGTTATGTTGTAACATATTTAGAATTTTTAATTTGATAAGACCGCTGTAACAAGAATATAGCAATTCGCTGCAGAGATTTGGTGTCCAATTTGATCGATAATTATTATGATTAATTGTATCTTTAAATCTCCTGTAAAACACGCCACTGTGATTGCACCTATCATCGCCGTAGATTTTAAAATAATAATCGTTTGCTAAAAACACGGTATTATTGAAATAGATTATTAGAATGTAGAGAAATCTAAGCGATTAAATGTTTATTTGTAGGATCAAGTAATAAAGCTGGTAAAAAAAAAAAAATAATTGTAATTATATTTATATTCGAGTTAAATATCTATTATAGTATGATATTGTGTATGCCATACACACGTGTATATAATATTTTAAAAATATCTTAATCCTTAATTAGTATTTATATACTGTATACGTAAATACCTAATATTTGTACTACTTATACCTTAAATTCAGTCGGATTCATATAATGTAATTTCTATTTTATACAATCGCGGCGTACTCTAACCTTTTTCAGTTATCTACATTTTTCGTTACGAATTTATAATAATATAATAACATTTCGTTCTATAGTTTTTTTTTTTTTTCATCAATTTGTTTTCCAAATGAATGAAACGTTTAAATTAAGAAACGTTCGAATGACCAGATTACCAGAGATAAAATTGTAGGAACATTTTCCAAAAAAAAAAAAAAAGGAAACCTTTCTGGAAAAACGCAGTGGCATAATGTTATGTAAAGGGTATAAGTATAAACGATTCCGTATACCTTATTTGTTTTCATACACAATTATAGAATTATTATCGTTCTCTATGATTTGTAAAACTTTAATAAACGATTTCAAAGAACTAACAGAATTATGTATTTTCAACGAGATTAATTGTAAATTTTTCTGAGAATTCACGAACACGAGCAAATATGACACGTTTTTTATTTTATTTTTTTAGAGAGATTTCATAAGATGTGTCATCTGTATCCGAATTTTCAACATAAATAAAAGTACATTAGGTCCATTTCCCTGGCACCCCAGCCCCCCTCCCTTCAAATTTCGAAATGAAACCAAGAGTCTTGTGTGTGCTACATTTGTGCTGATTTGTGCCGTACATGCCGATCAAACTTTTCATAGTGGAATCGTTTCTCTTAGGGGTGATGGGAAAATATTTGGATTGTTTTCGACATTTACAATAACTATCATAAGTCCGTAATTTTTTATATACATAAGTATTTTATGTTATATATTTACTGTATCTATATTTATATTGTAAATACTTTTATTATTCCTATGGACATTTTAGTATTAAGTACTGTCTCCGACAGATGATGCAGACAGAGATTATAAAATGAAATAATATAAAAACGTATATCCCAGTCTTTAATTCACCATGTTTTCACTCCATGTATTTCTATACTTCAAAATTGTCGTTAACTTAATCATGCATGGCAATATGCAATGTATTACCTAATTTAACAAGATACAGGTTAACTTTTGTTGATTTACTGTGAGCTAGGAACGTAAGAAACCTCAGAGCCCTTCAAGAAAAATTGGTACCTATATGTCGGAAAGTTCGAAGGCACAAATGTCGAGATTTGTCGTATAAATCAGCAAAAATCAATGGAATCTATTAAATTTCGAAACATATAGGTTGGGAGGTGCAACCGTTATCCTAGCATAGATGCCAAACACACTCAAACCAGTACAGTTCAAGTACCTACTGCAATATTTATTTTGTTGTTGTTCTTGTTGATAAAAATTTGATGTTGTGGCAGTTTTCATGCGGAATCGTGTATATATATATATATTAGGTAAAGAGTTGTAAATATATTGTATGTTATATTTATAGCCATCATGCAGAATCGTGTATTGGTAAAGATCGCGGTCATAGTATTAAAATAACACAGTTAAATAAAACAACCCATTAATTATTGACATGCAGCGCTCTGACGAACCAATAAAATATTATTAATTTTTACTTCTTGATGTGTTATTATATTAAAATGTTATCATAATACCTATAATATTTAATTCGTTTTATTATGTCGATTTTTGTAAATCTATTTTTTATCAAACGTATATTAGTACATAATATCTATACCTGATTACCTATCAATAATTAATAAAATAAATTAATAAAAATATTTGTATTATTAATTTTATATGTACAAATTGTAAAATACATTTTTTTCATATTCTCTACTACTATATTATAATAATACGATAATTTTTTTAAATATTTATCGTATCGATTTATTTGTGTTTCTTCATAATTTAATATACTTATCATCCTAGATTGTATAAAACCTTTCATTAAATTTATTGATCGGTAGGATTTATTGTACAATTAAACAATTTAAGAAAGCTGTTTGAGTTACATAAACGATTTATTAATGATGGTTTTTTCTTTGGTCACGTGGTTAGTTGTTGATTATAAACGTTAGCACCAAGAGAAACGATACCTGCAATATTGATAATCATAAATTAATTTGCAAATAATTTAAAATTTACACTTTCCAAAATAATCAAACATATTATGCAAATATTTAAACATCATAAAACGAGTATATTTTTTTGATTAACCCATAAAGATTTACTAAGATTTAAGAAAGTACTTACCCTAATGCCTAACGGTTCATTCAATTGTTAGTGAACGTTTATGCAACCCATCATTATTCGTATTCTATAGAACATGACTATATTTATGTATATTTTAATACGGGTTATAATGCAGCGCTATATGTCGGTAATATTTGTAATATTTTGATGTTTTATTGTTATTTTGTCGTCGTCTCGTATAAGTAACTTTAACCGTGGCGATAAGGTAATTAAATTCGTGTTTGACCGCGGTGTAGTGTATGTGGGGCACAAGGTTTTCTCAGTCGGAGTAGGTAAGTTTGGACAGTGTAATATTATAGAAAAGAAAAAAAAAACGTAATGTAGTACTCGCTGGACTTATAGTTCCGTCTATATACCAAGCTAATAATTGTATTTTATTTTTTAAAGTTACCATTCTATTATTAAAATGTATTAAATTATTATTATTGTAATTTGTTTTGTACGCATTTTCGTTGCATTTAACGGTGAAAAATTATATTATTATATTGTATTTTTTTTTTCGTGGGGGTAATGGTTTCGAAGTTTTAATTTTTGTTTTTCGTATTCATATATTATAGACCATTTCATATTATTATTATTGCATAGTAAAATTCATGACAATCTTATTAAAACTATTGAATCATACTATTATTATATTGTATACAAATATATTATAATACACATAATATATGTTATATAGAACGTAAATAAAAATATACTTATGGGACGAAAGAATATGTTTATAATATAATAATATTGATTTTATGTTTAGTGTAGTCGTTAATAAAATATAAAACGTTTATCGAATAATATATAATAATACAATAAAACATGTTTTTAACTGTAATTATTCGTTTTATTACAAGACAAATTGTAAACACGTGCAAATAAACCTCAGAAATCCCAAACAGATAACACAAAAAACATCAAAATATTTTGAAAATTCTACCACGTCTAGAAAGTGCCAATAAAAGTTTTCAACGAAAGTTTCATGTATCTACGATTATTTTTTATTTAAATCAAAATATTAACATAAACAGCCGTTGTTCCGTGAAAATTCCCATTTGCTCGTTCATTCCTTCATCCATTGTTACGAAAAATACGAAAATATTAAAAAATAACCTCTCCAACTCACCGTCTAGAAAAATATGTGTTACCAAAAATCTTCTTTGACGTTGATGACATGATAAATATTTCTGGTTGAACAGACGGAGAAAGAACATATCCAAAGGTCCGCAACAGAACAGGTAAGAAATTGTTTAAATATACAGATGTAGGTGTTATGAAAAGTACGTGTAAGATGTCTGCAGGTCGTAGGAGGCGGAATATCATATAATTTATCGCGCGACACTTCGCCGCATCAGATATTATTAATTTGGTGGGATACACGTGAATGTAAATATACAATTATCTATTCATAATTAATACGTCAAGTGCGATGTATGTATTTATTTGTACTATAGTAATTTATAAAATTTACCATTTTATCTGTCGCGTATGTACTCTGCGACCACACGGGAAGTCCTGTTGAAATATTATAGTACAACGTACACGAGTGTCGTATCTAATAGCGTTCGTTATCGCGATTGTTATGATTTAAAAACTACCAACGGCGTGTGTCGGCGAAGTTATTTCAGTCTATCGGATTCGTTTTGTGTTTCGTTGCGTATAAAATCTGATCCAAGCTCAGGTAAATGAGAGCCGACTCTCGAGGACTGTCAATTTTTTATACTATAATTAACTATACAATAATAATTTTTTATATTTATAATTAACTGTACAATAATAATGTATTTAAATCTGTATCGTAAGTTTTGTTCATCAACTATTTGTACTGTACGGAGTACGATGAAACGTCGCACGACGATGCATGCCTTGGAAAACGATTTTCTCGCAATAGTGCACCAACTATACAAAATCGTATACTAGAAACTGTCCCCGATTTTCGGAGCAAGTCTGCCGGTAAAAATTGTGACTTAGTAAAAGTAACTTATTCGGCCTAATATTTAAAACTACAATCTAATTTAAAAAAAAAATATTATGCACGAAAGACAATCAATGTACAGTTGTGGTGTATCGTCTTTAGTTTCAAAAACCATTCAACCTTTGAATATTTCACGGTTTGTTCTTATTAGTTCCATTTTTTTTTCTTTTTGAGAGTTTTGGCAATTGAATCCATAAAATAGGACTTAGACAGGGAATTTGTCTTTAAAACAGGAAACGTATACCTTTTACTTTATTTCTGGTATCCATTGGTTATACGAGAAAAAACCTATTTTTATTTTCATTTTAAGCAATTATTGATTTCATGGGATATACCGTAACGGGCTGTATTTATGGTTCCGGGTTCGTATAAATACAATTAAAACAGTTAGTTGTATAATCAGGGCCGGATTTAAACATTAGGGGGCCCAGGGCAAAAATATTTTGGGGCCCTAAATGGTCCATAACAAAAATTGCATACCTACTTAAACTTATACCATGCGTAAAATATATTTATAGTTACAACTAAAAATAACTATTTATGTTAAATAAATTGAACAAGTCATACAGTAATATATTATTTATTTTATTAATAAAAAAATATAATCTAAGGCTAAAATGTATTTAACTAAATATATATATTAATAAACTGTACCAAAAATTTGTATTTATATTTTTAATAAAGAAAATAGTCAATTAAAAGTTAAGATTATTATTACAGTCATTAATCTATTATGTTTACATAGAAAATAGAATATTATAAATTGCATACTTTTCTTGATTTTTTTTCTGCAAAGTCATCTATAATATCATCAAATGACAGATTATCGAACACATCACTTTCAATGCTCATAACTGATAAAAAGTTCAAACGATCTTCATTCATTGTAGTTCATAATCTATTTTTTATAATTTTCAATCTTGAAAATGTGCTTTCACTACTACAGTTGGTGACCATAATTACTAAATACATGCGTAATGCGATTTCAACATTTGGAAAAGCTGATATTACGTCTTTTTCAATTAGCCAAATTGCAATTTTTTTATTTTTCTGATTCGAGTCTCGGGGGCTCGGGGAATATACCCTTAATGCCCCCCGTCAAATCCGGCCCTGTGTATAATATGTAAAAAGGGCGTCCTAGGACAATGGGGACGGGTGCAGCCACTGTTATAGGTAATTAAATGTATGTCTGTAAGTAACGATTGACCATTACTAACAAAAGAAAACGATTTTGAGCGGAGTTCAGTTGATAGTGATAATTTGTCAACAATATATGTGTCATATTATCGTAAAATAACTAAATAGGCATTATGTATTATCCTTCAATAATATTTGTTTACTGCACCGATTTTCCCGTTTTTCATTGGTTTTTCCCGGTTTTCTCATTTTTTTTCCTGGTTTTTCAAATTTTTATCATCTTATTTTGGAGCAATATTGCTGGTAGAAAATTTGTCAACAGGAAAAAAGAAGGCCATAATATTTTTAGCCAATACCTTTATTTCTTACATGTTCCGATTTTTTCAACGTTTTTTTTCGGTTTATCACATTTGTTGGGAAAAATCTGAAAAATGACATTTGCTGGAAAAACCCTTGAGAAAATCGAAAAATAACCTCTTTAAAGGTACCTCCCTAGTGAAATTTCCTTTTAGAAAAATTGCTATCATTATATGTTTGAGCAAAATTGCTGAATTACCGCAAAAATGGTCCACAGGAAAAAAAATAAACATCTTTGGAAAACCAAAACTTCTTCGCTCCACTCAATAATTTTCTTTATTTTATAATTTTATTAGTAATAATTCTTTATGGATAGTCGAATGTATACAATTTTAATAAAATTGAAAGACTCACGGTGTCATATTAACAAAACTTGAATTTTGGGGAAGAATTGTAACAAATGCCAGCAAAACGTATAGTTTATGCTAGTGTCGCTGAGGAGAGGGATAATTGGGTTTGTCGGACAAACACGAGGTTTATGCCGATAGCCTGAAGAGAGTGGATGGCGTTAAAACTGATTTCTGGTATAAAAATAAAATCTTAACAATTTGAAATAATAAAATCGTTGCTCCATAATTTGAAAAAAAAAAATGTATATTTCATTTTTTTGGGTTTTACCGAATATTATAAAAAATACTTTAAATTTCAAAAAAACAATTTCCTTAGGCAGTGGATATTGCATTAAAAGTAACAAAACCAATCTCTGGTTACTTTTCGGTTTGTTGGAGCAATATTTGTAGTAGAAAACAGTTGGAAAAAATTAAAAACAATGAAAACGGTAACCCCGCGACGTGCCATAAATATTTGTCGTTTTACCTATATTTTTCTTTCGGGGTTTTCCCAATTATTTCGAAAACCCCTTAGAAAATCAAAAAATGACCTCTATAATGCACCAACTAGATAAAATGTTCGTTCAGAAAAATTGCTATACTGGGATCAAGATTTCTTTTCGAAAAATTGTTTACTGACAGAAAAAAAAAACACACTTCATAGTAAAACTATTAGATCCCTCGCTTCACTCAGAATCTAAAATAATAATATTACAATAATGAAATAAAGTGTTTTGGATCCCTATAAATTGTTGTAAATAAAATAAATTACTACTTTAGTTAAACAATTAAATATGCAGATAGTTGCAGATATGAATTAAACAATTTAGGATGTCCTACCTTTTCAACTTCTTACCTCAATAGTAGCACACCCATTTTTAAATCATTATTTTATTTTTAAACTTAATTACGAAGGAGGCACATTACAGCGCGACAACGTGGCGTAATTTCGTGGTACTTTGTTGTTTGAATTGTCTACTAGAGAGCGCAAATCATTTATTTTCTACAAAAAAATATAATAATAGCATTTTCTGTTATTTTATATATGCATGGATGAAGATTTGAGTGCTTAATAAAAACTCTTTTCTAGAAACATGGTCAATAATATAATGATCGATATGGTTATGAACTTAGAAAACAATATAACTGTTTTTCATTAGCGATGATTTGCCGTTACGTACCTATACGGATATAAATTAAATATGTTTAAATCTCTTTCAATCTGTTTCAGCTCACCGTTCATAAATTCGGTTTTCGTATTTTTATTGAGATTAGGTGTTAGTTTTTCAAAATTGGTGTTATTATGTCACATGATTGTTAGGTGTGTTATTGGTTGTTTTTACTTGAATGTACAAGTTGAATGGGAACATCAAGTACTTGTATTTGACATACGAGTTTCTACATAATTTTTCAACGATATTTCGATTTTAAGGAAAAACAAGTATCGATGGTGAGTTATTTTTTATTACATATTAATTTTAATCTGGAATCTGTACTGTGATTATTTTTATAGCAAAATTCTCACGGTTAACTGTTCGGATTGTCGTTATATCTTTGATGATGATTGAAATTATTTCTATAATTATTGGTTTGTTTGTTAGAGTTATTATGATTTTTTTGATTTGAATATTGATATTTTAGTTCGGTTGATTTTCTACATTTTGAAAATTATAAAATGTTCTAGAACATTGAATATTGCCATGATAATTATAACTATGCGAGTACATATTTTAATAGTGTTTCGAGTTTCAAGATTTGTGAAGACAATAAATTGTTTTACATGATTTTCTGTTTTATTTCTGTATATTATATTATCGTGATTTTTAGTTATTCGGGATTCGATTTTATCGAGAGAATGCGGATATGTATCATTTATTATAAATTAAAACGATTTGTATTTTCTTATGTTTGCTTTTAGATTGTGTCTTATAATGTCTTACTTTATGTCTTAAACAAACCATGTCTGGTTTTAGACATTTTATAGTTGAATATACTAGTTCGAATTGTGACACATTTTGTTCGATACGTATGTAGAATTTTTCGACATCGTTTGTATATGACGCAACAGATTCATTAGATAATTGTTTTATTTTTTCGAGAATGGTTCTGAGCATATACGTCTGTGCAATGGGTTCAAATTTAAATTTAAAACCATTAACTATTTGTTCCCAAATAGCTTTGGGATTTTTTTGTTTAAAATTATCTGAAAATACTAAGGCGGTTTCTTTGAGATACTTAGGTAGAAATAATTATTTTTGTTCTGGAGACCAACTGTTTATAATGTTGATTTTATTGTATTTATGAAGAAAATAATCAACACATTCGTGGATTTCACCGGCAAATTTGATAAGTTTATAAAATGGATTTCTTTTATTTATTCTATTGTCCACTTTTTCAAAATATTTGTAATACAATTTTAATGAAAATTAGGAGTCTCTTCTAATATTTTATCTATAAAATTGTATAATCTGTAGGGAGGGGGGGGGTTAGGATACATCAGTGGTAGACCATGCCCATCGTAAGAGGCGACCAAAATAGACTAAGCAATGGGCAGCGGCATTGTTTGTAACAAGTATAGATTTATCTATACTTAAATGGCATCCCTTAGAAATAAGAGGTGCTACTGCAATACGGAAGACAACGAGAAACCGCTGCATTAATTCTCCCAAAAATAAAGCAATGAAGGCTAAAAATAAGAATGATAGCGCACAAGACAAAGTGGCGCATGTGACGCCTTTATGCCTTCCACGGTCTCCCACTCTAGTGTGTCCCGCTTAACAGCCTTAGTAGTTTATAGTAGAACGCCTCTATGTGGGCGATACCGGTGATTAATAATGTAGTTTAACGCGTGGCGCATTAAGTGGCAACACCGTTTAATAGATGTTATTTGTAATGGAATTGGTAATTGTAATTACTACGTCAACTTGATCGTTTAATTTACAAATATTAAATATCCAATGTATTACAGTATATTATACTGTGGACGTCGTTTATAAGACTAGATATAAGATTGAGTTGCTTATATGACTTAAAATAACTTGGAATTGTCCGGATGTATCCAAATAAAGCATCACTATCAATTGAACTCTGTTCAAAATTGTTTTTTCGTAAGCAATGGCTTCTTGTGGCTATACATTAAATTATCTATAACAGTAGCTGTACCCGTCTCCATTATCCTGGGACGTCTTTTTTTTTTTTTTTTGTATTCGATTTTATTGAATAATTTACTGTTTATTTTCATGACCAATTATTGATATTATAGATTACTCTTATGTTTTCATATAAATAACTGCATACATTTTGATACAATAAGTATTTGAGTATTATTTTTTACAGTATTTTTACTGAAAGTCAATGAATGAACCCAATATAAATTAGTTAATTTGTAATGCATTATATAGATAAGCCATAAGGTAAAGTATAAAAACAGTCGACATAAATGACGAATTACATGATTTGAGTGTTGTTACGTATTTTATTTATCAGTGCCATTGCTATGATAAAACTCGAGCATTGTCAATGTAATGATATCGTTCATTTCTCAAATCTTAATAATAATGGCTATGATGAATTATGGAATATGTTAAATTATAATTAAAAAAATAATAATAAATGTACCTGTATACATATTTATACTGTTATTTTATAAATGTATTATGAATATAATTGAGTTATATTTAGCTTCTATATATGCAAAAACGTTAAATAAAACTGACACCGATCACTTATTCCTCAAAACCCATGAAACGTATGAAATTAAAAATTTGGAATAATGGTTCCTCCTCCCCCTAAATACATAAGGTTTTTTTTTTATTTATTTATTTAAGCTTAATGAATAGTATTCGTTTATAATTTTATACATAATTCAATAAATAAGAGTTAAGCGTGGAAATACGATTTTATTTCTTTGTTATAAACTTTTATAAACTAGTTTTATCCAAATAATTAAAATTTTGGTCAACTATTTTTATTTTTTAAACACTGTGCGACGATTGCATAAGTATCGTGTTTCCTCGTGGATTCATTAAAGAAAAAAACCCAAGACGATGGCTTTTACAATTAAAAATTAAATTTTCTAAAATATTATTGCTCCCATAAACGATAATAAAAATATGACGTACTTAAGCTAAATTTACAATATATTTTTGCATCGAAATTGGGAATTTTATACGTCTTTACGTAATCATTATTATTATTCTAGCTCATTACGGTGCTTAATTGTTTTCGTCATTATTACGTCTCCGGTCAGCACGAGTCTTGATATTATAATTTAACGAAATCAATAATGGAAAACAAATAACCTCTTAGTTATTTTGTCAACTATTTGAAATTTATAAGCACGTTTGGTATATTAGGCTACGTGTAAAAGCAATTTTTCCGGACGATATTATGTGAAGTTTTATTTCAGTTTTAAGGTTTTACGTTTTAAATACCTTTGAGCAGATATGACTTTTTCGGAGTACTTTTAAGATGCCTGTATACTGTAGATTTTTTTTCTCGTAGAGTAACTTTTATATTATACATATATTATAATTATTACATACTTCCAGCGCAATCCAGCTAGACCGATCTAACTCTAGTTGTATCTTTCTCTACAATGTACCTTAATAAATAAGCCGTTCTGGCTAGTTTTTCCCAATATCACAGATGAATTTTACCACAGAGAATTTTGCAAGGTAAAATGTCATCAATGGTGTCAGAGCTAATTTTACTTCTTCGTAATTTTTATCTTCTTATTTTTATTTTTACGATTTATTTTTAAAAAACGCATACGAAGTTTTATAATAGTATTGATAATAAAATGAATAATAATAATACCATAAACCTATTAAAACCTATTATTCCTTACCTATATAAGTTATGATTCTTAGAGTTATGAAAAACCGATTCGAGCATTACAGTTTATAGCATGATAGCATATTTTTTTTGCCACTGTAAGAATATTCTTGTTAGCTAACTAATTTGTGTCTCTAAGATCAATACAATTGAAGATTATTGATTTATTTGTATTCCTTATATTTTAAAGTGGCGCATATAATACATATTATATATGTTTTACAAAATGTGTATTTACTTACAACAGTGGCGTGCCAAAAAATTTTCAATGAGAGGGGATGTATTATGTAATAATCATGATTCATACATAAATCATTTTAATAAGACACTTTAAAATTCAGATCTAAACAAATCCAACTTATATTTAATAAATTCAGCTTATTTCGTTATGACTTGGTTTAATATATATTATAATATTATAATTACTAATTGAATACTGAATGCTTGTATTCATAAGCCAATAGGGGGGATAACACTCCTAAACTCATACCCTCTGCGCAGGGTCACTTACTTACTATTTATACTAATGTGTATTATAACAAAATAATTTCGATTGTAAAACCAATTTATTTATTGAGAAAAAATAGTATGTAAAAAGCGATGAGTTAAAGTGAAATACAATTTCGTACTTTATCTCTCGGGCAAATACAAAAATATGAAAACCAATATAGAAAAAAAACATATGCTTACGTCATATTATTTTACATAAGGCAGTTTAAATAATCTAATAGTAAACCTTCTTTAAAATTTCGTATTTAGTAGCGTTGTGCAAAACAATAATCGCAAGAAACTTTTTAAAAAATGAACAAACCCGCATTGAAATGCAGATCTGTCTTTTTTTAAATAAACCAATGTAGGATCACTGACCGGATTCAAAAGAGTACCAAATAAAAGTACTAAAGTTAAAAATAAAATATGGGAATAATAACTGTAACATTTGTGTGGCAGTAAGGCACGTGATGTCTTATGAACGTACCACTACTCTTCACCTACCATTATTAAAAGTGAAATTTCTTCTCAACGTTTAACAGAAATTAAAAATGTCAATACCAAAAATGATTTTAATCAGGGATCGCGATCGACTGGTTGACTTTTCTAGGAATATAGTCGATCGCGATATTTACCATTGTCGACACATGCAAGTACCTAAAAAAACCCAAATCTACGAACTGTTCTTCGCATATAGCTTCATTTTTAGACTCGACTTGGTTATGTGAGTCAACATTTTGAAGTATAAAATAATTAAAAAATAAATATCGGTGAAAAATTACAAACGGTAATTTGGATTCAAGTTAACGGGTAGCTGTTAGTAATTAAATATTTACCAGGATATCCACCTATTTTTTGATATTTCAATATAAGTTCTTATTTGAAAAATCAAAGTAACTATATGATACACTGTTATGAAAAATCTAAATATTGGAAAATAATAGCCTTAACTACATTTAAAAATTTCAAAAATCAGAATTTGAATACATGCAAAATTTAACAAAAATATGGGTACAAGAAATAGTGCAATAATCTTTATTCAGCAGAAAATTGACAAAAAAAGAAAATGCTGATAACGCTGAGAGGTGCGCCACTGTTATAGGTGGAAAGTTTTCCTTGAATCGATAATAAGGTCACTTTTCAAATTCTTTAGCCCTCGATAAATCCGAAGGATAACCGCAAATTTAAAACCTATTGAACAAAAAATGAAAGAAAAGCCGCGTGTATTCTCATAAACCACAGGTATGTAACCTTTATTTTAATTGGATTCATGAATTTTTTACCTTAATCACTAATATAAAATCCAGAAAATGATGAATCCTACAAAATTCTTCTTATAAAGTCTTTGATCGGATCATGCTTTCAGGATAAAAAAGGCTCGAATTCATTAAAAAATCGAAGATTGGTACCAGAAGTACCAGGACACCAAATCATTATACCAACACAAATATTTATATATACACATTAAATATTTTTGCTATGATGTAGTTTTAAATTTTGTTTTTCTGACTGCATACCAGGTATTCAAATTCGTATTTGTAGAGTTCTTGAAGTGTTTAACACGGTCGTGTTCGAGGCTATGGCATAGTAAAATTACTAACATTTGTACTCAGCCTTTTATTATTATCAGGCTAGTGTAATGTAATAAATAATCAACATTTACTGTGGAAACTGGTAAGAAAAGATAATAGTATTTTGTTAAAAAAAAATGACTTTATTATATTTATATATTTTTGGTAGAAGATGGCCCGAAGTTTTAAAACCACTGACTGGATTATCACATATATAGTCCGGCCTGCACATATGAATCTCAAATCAAGAATTTTACACTTAGTTTATATATTTGTTTAAATTTTTTCAAGTATGGGATTTTGAAATACCTTCTTATAGTTTGTAATTTGGTACACTTCAATAACTAAATTTCTCTGATTCATAATAACTTAATATTTTTTCTGGTTTTCTTATTCTAGAAATAAAAGAATAAACTTTTTTATGAGCCGACTAGATTTAAAATTTCACCAATAATGTCTATTTGATTTATAAATTTAAATAAGTTTATAAACTACTGGTGAAAAATATATAAATATAACAGGATAATTATTTTTTTTATTAGTGTGTAACAAGCTGCACAAACAGATACCTATTATAAATCATAAAAATGTGTTTACAATATTTTTAGACTAAATTATTCTGGCATTTTTTGTTTTTAAAAAATTTTCTAAAATACACGTTATATCACAATATAACGATAGTGATATTGACGAATTAAAAAAAAAAAAGAAACATTTATATTTTTATGCCTGTATGAACTTAAATTAAAGGTTTATAGGTGTGGTTGAATATTTATCCAAAACGTGAATTAGAATGAAAATTAACCTCGTGCATACAAATTTGTACCCGGCACAATATATAAAATATTATAACATTAAATTCATTTGTGAATTGTGTATTCCTTTACATTTTTTCATTAATATTGTCTGTGAAAAAAGTGTAAAATAATTTAAATAGTATCAACGCCAAATTATTACGGTAGAGTAAGTTGATATATAAGTTATGTTATGGGTAATATTACATTTGGATAATGTCGGCATTAACCATGCTTTTTGGCTAATGTATAATTTTTTGTTTATAAACATGAAATATCAACATTTTACCATTAAATTGGGAAGGTAAGGTACAGATGGGAATTCAATGCACATCTGTAAGCAACTATTAACCATTGCTAACGAAAACGAGATTATAAGAGGCGTTTTTTTGAAAATTTTGTTTTATCAATAATATATATGTTATATTATAGGAAAATAATTGCATATGCATTAAACATTTTCATTAATTATATTTGTTTAATATTGTATCTATTTTATTTTGACGGAAATCAAAAATTTTAGCACCAATATTTATTTTAACTAATACTCCAGATATTGATAGAATTTTTAATATGGGTTCCGTTTTTAAAAACCAAAGGTTTGCCACAGGATGTTCCTTAAATGTTGTGAAAAATCTAATTATGTGAAAATATATAATTTTAATATACGCTAAATTTAACCATAAAAATGGCGTGAGCTTACTTAGTGAATCACACTGTATACCTTTGACATCCTATTTCACAAATAGGTTTTGATCCTATTTAAAATAGAGAACGTGTGTTCACGAGTAGTAGTCGAGGGAGATATGACACCCAGATACTCCTCCAATAATTACTTCACTGTTATATTGTACTTAATTATCCTTGTATACTTTTTAAATTTTTGGGTCTTTTATTTATTTTTTTTTTTGTCTAAATGACTATTCTAGTAGTGATGTCTTACCTTTTAGATATTTTTAAATGAGTGACTACATTTTAGACAAAAATATTATAGCCAATAGTATTTTAGCGGACAATATTTTAATTCAACAATATTTAAGCCGACAAATAAATAATCTGAAACACATTTTATCCGAATCGTATTTCAGCCGACAAATCCCCTCCCCTACAACCAATGCTACAACACAACCGGTACGGTAGCGTTGGTAATTGGATGTATGGACGGGTGATGAGGTATAGCAGAGTATTGGTTGTAGTGGAGGGGGATTTGTCAACTAAAAAACAGTTTGGATAAAATAGGAGTCTACTAAAATACAGTCTGCTTAAAAACTACCGGCTAAAATACTGTTCGGAGGAAACATGTGTCTGCTTACTTACGGTTCGTATAAAATATGTTTCGTCTATAATATTTGTCGTTTGAAATATTTTCGATTTTTTTAAACATTTTTTCATTTTGAAATAACGAATTGTAAATGTTTGATAAAGGGTAATATTTATACGCAAACTGACACTAGATTAATAATACGCATTGAACGAAACCTAATCGAAACGTATATGTATTCGTGTATAATATTTTTTTATTGGTTAGACCAATGGTGACCAATTATAACCCACGATTATTTCTTAATTGGCCTTTGTTATAATTACTTATAACAAACATATTAATATAGACAAATTATTAAAGTTTTATATGATAACTAGTATAACAGTAGAAAAGGTATATTAATAGGGTATAAACACTAGGCTTATCAGTTGATTGAAAACATTAATGTAGTGAGCATTCCTAGAGGACCAGAAATTGTATTATTTGTATGTATTTTAATAGGAAAATTACTAAAATTATGGAAATTTTCCATTTTTTTTTGTTAACTCTAAAATATAAATAATGCTATATTTATTTATACACATAAACACATAATAAAACGGTATAAAATAGTTTTGTATAAAATTATTCATAAATAATATTAGTACCTACCTACCTGGTATACGCCAAAAGATAACTATTGCTTGAACAAATTTATATTTTGATATGATTATTATTATGAGGTAGTTATCATAATTACTTTTAGTAATAAGTAATAATAATAATTTTTTTAAACGTTTTTTATTTTTAGAACTAATTTGTTAACATCAGAAGTAAAGGACACTTCTTCACATCGAATAATACACTAATAAAACTTGATTATAGCTCAGAAACAGCCATAAACAATGTTCAAAAAAAAATAAATCAGATAAATACAAATATTTTAGAAGATTATTAGTACTTCATAATTTTCAATAATGAATTATTTCCTATATATAACTATCATAAATATAATTTTTAATGTATAGGTTGTAATAAATGGAGTAATTTTTGAAGACATTGAGTTTAGGTATAAAGTTGGCCATAGCGATCATAAATAAGAAGTAATGAAATACATTATACAATTTTCTTAAAGTACTAGAATGATTTATAGTGTAGAAAATATAATAACCAAGTGTCAGACTAAAATCTTTGACGAAAATGAAAACGTTTAAAAAAAAAAATGACAATTATAAAATATATTTCAATAATATAATAATATTATAAACAAAAGAATTATTATTACTTATTACTAGAGCCCGGATTTATATTCATTTAAAAAGTGTCAAATATGATGCAAATATGCAAAGGAAAAGTGACTAAATATGCAATTATATGCATTATGTTAAACTTTATAAAATGAGTTTATTTTAAAAAAAAACAACACATTTTTACACCAAAGAAAATTCTGTATATTTTATCAAAAACAAAAAAAAAAAATGAAAATATCCACTGCTATATAATAAATCAATTGAAATTACTCTAAAAAATAATAGAAAACTTAAAAAAAAAATTCAAATATTTTAAAATAACATTTCTAAAAATTAATAAATAATAATAGGTATACATTTTAAAACTTCAGAACAATATAATTAAAATATTAAAATATGTTCTTTTAATAATTTTCATAACAGTGGACAATAATATATTTTTCCATATTTTCTGATGTCATTGAAGTTCTTTTTTCAGTTATAATTGATTTATACATACTTAACGACCTTTCAACATCCACCGAAGTTATAAGTGCAAACTTCATACATGAACACATAGAAGGAGTTAAGTTTGGTGGCATGATACTGTTTTCTTTACCTGACAAAATTGCTGTTATCTGCTTCGCGGTTTGGATTCCAACATTTTTTTCAATTAAATAAAACAATTTTTCTTGAATTATTTTTCCTTTTTGTCCTGGTACTTTTTCCATCGCCAAAATAACATTATTTACAATTTGAGTAGAATCAGACAAAGTTAAACTAGAATGTTCCAAATTTTTTATACTTTTTACTAGTATAAAAAAATGAGATTGAATAAATGTAAGGTCACTTTTAACAGATTCCAGACTTAGCATATTAATACATTTTTGTATACTAACAACATTTTTATCTTCTAGTTTTTGTAAAATTATTTTAAGATTATCAAAATGATCTGCACAAAAATTAGCTGCTTCAACCCATGTCCCCCATCTGGTTAGTACTGATTCTGGCGGCAAGGGCACACTGGGCATTATTTCTTTGTATACATCTACTTTCTGAGGTGCTTTAAGAAATACTTTTTTTAAATTACTTACCAAAGTATTTACATTGGGGTACATTTCTCTAACTTTTTCTGCTAGACGTTGGATCATGTGAGCAAGACATGAAATGTGTATCATATTAGGAAAAAATACGTTTAGTGTTTTACCAGCTTTGATCATATATGGCGCTGCATCGGAACATAAAAGTAATACTTTTTCATCATTCCCACCATGAGGCCACAATATTCTTAGGCTGTCATTTACAAAGCGAGAAATCGTCGAATGATTAGTTTTATCTAATTTTTTACATGAAATTAAAAATGGTTTGCTAGCATTTTGTTCATTTAACACACCAACTAAAAGGTTTGCAATATAACTACCATTGATATCTGTAGTTTCATCAACGACTAAATATATATACGAGTCCCCNCGCGGAAGACTGGATTTTGTAGTTTAAACCAAGGTATATTTACAGCTACGAGGCTCAAACACAGATCTTCATTAAAACTTGATGTTTTTGGTTTGGTTTCATCTCCCAACAACATTTGTTTACTGTTGTTAGAACTTTTTTTCAAACATTTCAAATGAAACTCGGTAGTTACATGTTGCGTTATTTGAAATTTTTTGTTACAACGCACCTGACGATCACAAACTTGACAATAAACTACTAATCCACTAGTGGTAAACACAGTTTTGTCGCGATTGTAAGGCTCAACCCATCGAGTTATGGATGAACCCAAATTAGACTTAGTTTTTGGCATTTTGTCTTTTTTTTCAAACGGGCTAAACAAACACTACCGCGGACAAACGCATATACAACGAACGATGGTCGATGACTGCGTATTAAATATTAATTAATTGCCATCGTGCCGGGTGGTGGCTATTATTAGGCACCGGTCTAACTAAATAAGGTAACTAAATAAGATTTATAAATATAGCCTATATAATGCTACGCGAAAACACAATGTGATTATTTATAGAATGATATCGACATAATAAGCTGGGACGCGAGTGTATGTTTATTAATAGTTAATTTATTAAAAACCCATTAAATATTCATGTTATATGCATTTATGAACAAATATGCAATAACCCGAAATATGCAAAATATGCAATATAAAATTTGAAGTTTAAATTCGGTGTGATATGATCCGTGGACATTTTAAACCCCCATAGACGTGCATACACTTAGTACAAACATGCAAATGCGTATAAATCCGGGCTCTACTTATTACCAATGATTATTACGAGTACTACCTCCTAATAATAATCACATCAAAACTTCAAAGTGATCAAGAAATAGTTACCTATTACAACATACCAAGAACTATTTTATTATGTATTTATATGTATTAAGAACTATAGCGCAATTTATCTTCATAGAATTCACATTTTAAATGTACTTTAAGAATACAAAAAAAAAGAGAAAATGTCTTTATTATTTCTTATTATTTCCTTATTATTGTAATTTCTTATTAATATACAAACATATGATAAAACATCTTGTCCTCTATTGAATAGGCAGTGACCCTAGCGGCGGTAATATTTTCAATTAATTTATCTTAGAATGGTAAGTGAAAGTAATTACACCTTATTAATTCACATTGGCAGTAGTATAAAAGTATTTTATGATAAATGATGATTTCATTAGTACAAAATTTTTATATTTAAAAATTTAAAAACTTTACATTTTATTTTAAATTAACTAAGTTAATCTAATTAAAATCAATTTTTGTTGAATAGGTATTTTACGAACTTGGACATCAAAACCTCTAGCAAGAATATTTGGATAATCAGTTGTCTAATGCTATAACGTCACGTGTAAAAATTATTACTTTAACTGGAATCATTCTTATATTGTACATAGTAATTGGTAAAACCGTAACGTTTAACTGAAATAATTAAAATCAAAGCATAAAATTAATATTGTATCCCATAAAAATATCGAATCATTCCCGTATCTGATTCTTATTAATTGAAAAAATGCTGTTAAAATTTATCATTCGTTATGTTATTATATATTCTTTTATATCAGTGTCAGTACACGGTGATGATGAGTTTGAATATCCACCTAGTAACTTACCTAGAGATCCATCTTTAAATGATCCCCAATATAAATCTAAATCTACTCCACTTCAATCAATGTGTCCACCTCTCGGTTGTTGCCCATCACCGTGTCAGAATAACATTCGATGGGCCCAAAGCAATTGTAAGAAAGGTTATCATTCTTTTTCTCTCGATGTAATTAATTGTTTTTGCTGTAACTGAAAATTTCATTTATTGGAGACGCAATTGCAAATCATTTCACAAATTCAATAAAAATGTAAAATATCAAATACGATCTTTCCATGGTTTATTCGTTTAAAGAAGCACCACTCACTAGTTGAGGCATTGCTAACAATTAAATTAATTTACACATTCCAACCACTAGAATATTGGAATGGCATTAAGTGAATATACCTTAATAATAACATATTTTAATGAACTTGCTGTAATAATTATACAATAACTTTATTATTTTAGATTTAAAAAATATTAAAAATCGACTTTTTTCCGTACAGTAATTGTGTAAAACATTTATCATTAGTAATGAAATAAAATAATTTTTAATTTCTGTTTATTTGTTGAATTGATCATATTGAATCATATAACCTATGAAGATATTGTGAGAGTGTAGTTATTGGTTTGTGATATTGAAAACCACAACTCCGAAATTAATACAAAACAATAACTTTTATTGTATTTTTAAATTAAATACGTTGTATTTATTAATGTTAATACTAGTCCTAGTCGAATGAAACAGTTTAAAAATACTTAATTTAGAAGTTAATTCCTCTAGAAATGTGTGTGTAAAAAAAAAAAATATGTTCTTTAATATAGTTTATCATCGTCATTATTGATTTGTAATCGAATCTAAGTGATTACTAGTGAACAAGATGCAGGTGTAAACAGAAAAAGTAACTGCACTGTTACACTAAATATTTGTAACAGATTATTTGTATAAAGTGTAATGTGTTCTAGATTCTAAGGGCATTGATGGTTTCACACGGATGTTAATTTTTTTGGTTTCCATTGTACATATTTTCTACTAGAAATCATACTCTGATATTCAGCTGAAGCATTATATCTGAAAGAATATCTGACTGTGAAGGATATTAAATTTTTTCAGGTGTTTTCCTAATAAATAGAAAAACATGGACAAATTTTTTTTTTTTAAAAAAAAATGTTTTTCCATATAATCCAGAAAAATTAAAAATATCCCAAATAGTTTTCTGCTACAACCATACTTATTATTAGGTATACACAAATTAGTACGTTTGGTAATACATTTACTATATTGTATAACGGGTTTTTCAAATTATTTTGAAAAAACGCTTAGAAAATAATTTGAACGACCTTTTTTTATGAAACAACTAGATTTAGATTTCAACCAAAATTATCTACTGGATTTTTGAATTTAAATCATGTTATAAATTTTGGTGAAATAAACAGAAATATGACAGGATAATTATTATTTTTTATAAGTGTGTAACAAGCTGCACAAACAGTCATTTATTATAAATCATAGAAATGTGTTTACAAAATTTTATATTAAATTACTGTGCCATTTTTTTGTTTGTTTTTTAATTGATAATTACATAATTACATACATTTAGTACATAATGTACTAAATTACACAATATGACGTACGTGATATTTGCAAATGAAGAAAAAAAAAATTGTAACATTTATTTATTAAGTGCCTTTCTGAAGATAAAAATAAAAATAAAAATTAACCTTTTACATATAAATTTGTAGCCGGCACATAATATAAAATATTATAACATTAATTTAATTTGTGAATTCTGTATTAAATAATGGAACAGTTTTCTGTATTATCTAAACATTTTGTACATTTTGTATATTCTATACATTTTGTTGTTGATTTTGTTAGTGAAAAGTATAANATATCAAAGCATGATATATCAACATTCCTGGGTAATAGTAACGCTTACTAGGAATGTTGGAAATTTTAAAAGTTATTTATTAAAAACAGTAGGAGTTTTTGTTAAAATTCTGTGTATTCTGGTATAGGTTGTAAATAGAGTGATTTTTGAAGACATTGGGTTTAGGTCTAAAGTTGACCGTAGCGATCATGAGTAAGAATTAATAAAATACATTATACAATTTTCTTGACATATTAGAATGATTTTTGCTGTAGAATTTATAATAACTTAGTGTCAGACCAAAATTTTTAATGACAAAAAAACGTTTAATGAAAATTTAACTATAATAAAATAAATATATTTTAATAAAATAATAATATAATATACTTGTAACCAATAGTAATAACAAGTTCTACCTCCTAATATTAATCATAACAAAATATCAAATTGTACAAGCAAAAGTTAATTATTGAAACATATTATATACATAGGCAACCATATTATATTATTCATGACTAATATCATAAGTAACTGCTTTATAATATTTTATTGTGCAATAATATATCCTTAAAAACTAAGCATAATTTATCTTTTACAGTTAACTCAAAAAAAGGGAAATTTTCCATAATTTTAGTCATTTTCCATTTAAAATAAACACAAAAAAAAAATGTATCGAGTAGCCGGTGAACCTATTGGTAATTTTAAATGTAGTAATCTTTTCACTTAATTTAGACTTCTTGGACAGTCATGTGAAAATGATTAGGCCATAATAATCTACCTTAAAGGTAGGATTAAAGTGTTTCAATGATTTTAATGATTTCAAAAGTACAATATTTTATGTTTAAAAATTGAATGAGTTTAAATTTTATTATAATATAACTGATTTTGTCTGATTCAAATTAACCTTTCTTGAATAGGTAATTTACAAACTTGGCGATCTAAACCTCTAGCAAGAACATTTGGATAATCAGTCGACTACTACTATAACGTAACGTGTAGCAATTATTACTGTCAACTGGAATCATACTTATATACTAAATATAAATTGTTAAGACCGTAAAGGTTAACTGAAATAATTAAAATCAAAGGACACAATTATTTTGTCCACTAATCCTATCATTCGCGTATCTATTACGGATATATTGAAAATATGCTGTTTGAGGTAACATTTGAGGTATTTCCAGACATTTTATTTTGTCAGTTTTATACCTTATCTTATTTGACAGCTACATTAATTGGGTATTCAATTGTAAGACTAAACAACATGCTTTAACTTTCACCAAATGATTTATTAGAAGACGTTCATGTTTTTTGAAAATATTCTTTATATAATACATACATATCATATATTTCCGCTATTATCTTCGGCATGAGATTTAAAAAGCGTCAAGAAAAGCGATTTGACTTTTACTCCCTTCTTGCAACCACTACTCTCTTCCTTAACGAATTTCACTACATTTTTATTGCATTATAATATTTTATTCTTAAACAAAATTATAAAAAATATCTATTATTGTAACCGTGATCAAGGTTTTCTAGTCTATGTAAATAAAAATTAAGCATCGATTCTGATCTCTTTATATATTATAAACTAAACATTATTTCTCGTTATACATAACACATATTGAGTCATTAGCTGAAATATTAATATTAGTTTTCAAATCTAATTATCGTAAAATAATTTTGTCGTATCATCGAAAATACCAAAATTTTATTATAAATTCACTTAACTGTAATGAAATTAACAGTTGCTTACGGACAGACGGTCTGAGACTATTTTAAACTTCTACCCATAAATCTGAAATCGAGAATTTCAGGCTAGGTTAATATATTTATTTAAATTTTTTCAACATGAAATTTTGAAATACAAACTTACTTCATAATTTGGCACATTTCATTAACTAAATTTCTCTGATTCCTACTTAGTAAATAACTTTTCTAATTTTTTTGTTCTGTTTGAAATCTAAACCATACGTATTTAATTTCTCATAGTGTGACAGTTGTTTTTCTATATAATCCAGAAAAATTAAAAATATCTCAAATAGTTATCTTCTACAACCATACATATTATTAAGTGTATACAAATTGGTACGTTTGGTAATGCATTTAACATATTGTATAACGAGTTTTCCCAATTATTTTGAAAAAACGCTAAGAAAATGATTTTAACGACCTTTTTTTTTATGAACAAACTAAATTTAGATTTCAACCAAAATTATTTACTGGATTTTTGAATTTAAATCATGTTATAAATTTTGGTGAAATATACAGAAATATGACAGGATAATTATTATTTTTTATAAGTGTGTAACAAGCTACAAAAACAGATATTTATTATAAATCATAGAAATGTGTTTACAAAATTTTTATATTAAATAAATCTGCGAATTTTTTTTTTTTTCGTACAATTTTTCTATTGGATTATTTTTTAAAAACACGGACGACGAAAATAGGTCGTCCATGTATTAATCGAAAAATCACAATATAACTCTTTTGTGGTTTTTTCGATTTACTTTCAATCGGTATCAACACCAGATTTTTGAGCCACTTTTGAGCTTCTAAGGAATTTTACTTTAGGATAGAGTTTTTTAACGGAAAAAAAGGCTTAAATACGAAAAATAACAATAAAGCCTTTTCGTGGCCTTTATGATTTACTTTCAAACGGTATCAACTTCACTCAGAAGAGTCTTTCATCAAACAATGATATATCTGTAAGAAAAGATATACCATTCTTTGTCGAAATAAAATCACCCTGTGTATTATATGTACCTAAATTTTCACTTATAACGGAGGCCACTCCCATCATTAGTACCACCACTATTATTAAGATTAAGTGCAAAATATAAGAGTTTCATTTAACTGTCTTCAATTAAATTACTTTGCATGTGTTTGCAGCCACTGTTGTTGTAGGTGGAAAATTAGGAATGTAAAATTCAGAAATGTAATGTAAATCTGTAAGCATTGAAAACCATTGATATCGAAAAAACGATTCTAAGAGAGGTTTATTGAAAAATATTGCTGTGTCAACAATACATATGCTATATAATACATATTATAACAAAATAGTTGCATATGCATTAAACATTCTCTTTAAAAATATTTGTTCAATTTTGTATTTATTTTCTCGTTATCCTGATTTTGACATATTTAATTTTTTGGGAGGGATTTGACTATAATAAAATTTATTTTAATAATATAATTATATTATTAACAAATGCAATTTGTTATTACTTATTTCAAATAGTAATAACCATTACTACCTCCTAATTATAGTCATATCAATCATCAAATTGTACAAGTTATAATCAGCACATAATAGGTATGTTGACACCTATATTATATAATACATGACTAATATCATACGTAAATATTTTTTACAAAAATATTATGTTATTATGTGTCTATTAATAAAGCATAATTTATAATTTCTATTTGTTTGTTATATTGATTACTTGGGTCAGTACTTACTCTTCATATTACATATGAAGATCCTGCTAGACATTAGTTATTGGTTCGTGATATTGAAAACCACAATTCCAATATTAAGACAAAACAATTACTTTAAATTTTATTTTTTTCTTAAATAAAATACCTTTTTTTTTATTAAACTTTATACGAGTCCTAGGTAAATGAAACAAATTAAAAATACGTATTTTAAACGTTAAGTACTCTGAAAACGTGTGTGTAAAGAACAAAATATGGTCTTTAAAAAAGTTTAATGCTTTAACATTCATCAAATGGTTTATTAAAAGACGCCTATGTTTTTCGAAAATATTATGCTTATTATACATAACATATCATATATATCCATCATTTTCTTCCGGCATGAGAATTAACATATTACTTAGTTTGTAATTTGGTACATTTTAATAACTAAATTTCTCTAATTCCTACTTACTTAAATTTTTTTGATCGATTAAAAATCAAAACTTTACGTATTTATTTTCCCATAGTTTGGCAGTTGTTTTTTCATATAGTCTAGAAAAAATTTAAAATATCCTAAAAAGTTTTCTCCTATAATTATACTTAAAAATATGTGTACA